AGCGCGTGAGCGTCCTCAACAAATGGGACGAGGACGGCAAGTTGACAAACTTGGTGTTCTACCTTGCGGGCGTTGCAAGTTTGTGGTACACCAACCACGCGTCCGAGTTTGCAACCTGGTCCGGTTTCAAGACTGCTATCACCAACGTTTTTGGCCGCCCTGCCGTTCGCAAGCTGCAAGCCGAGCAGCGCTTACGCGAGCGCGCTCAGCAGGCCGGTGAGTCATTCACCAGTTACATTGAAGATGTCCTGGACTTGTGCAAGAAGTCGAACGACAGCATGTCCGAATCAGACAAGATCCGGAACGTCATGAAGGGCATTGACGATGATGCCTTCACGATGCTGCTTGCCAAAAACCCCGGCACAGTTGCTGAGGTCATCACGCTGTGCCAGAGCTACGAGGAGCTCCGCCGGCAGCGTTCGATGACCCGTCGCTCCACATCACGAGATGCAGGGCTTGCAGGCTTGGAAGCGAGCTGTGATCAGGTGGCACTGCTGGCAGATCTCAAGTCCTTCATACGTGAGGAAGTCGCGAGGCAGTTCTCTCTCCTGCCCTTTGCCCACCCACCGGCTGCTCAACAATCGGCCCCTACCATTCTTCCACCCATCCGCCGAGCGATTGAGCAGGAAATAGCGGAGGTCATGCCTGCGTACCACCCACAACAACTTCCGGCCCCTGCAACCCCAAGTTACGCCCAAGTGGTCGCAAGGCCGCCTCCAGTCGTTCAAGTGCCTGCACCAGTGACTTACGCCGAAGCTGCCGCACGACCTCCGTCCTTTGCAGCGGGTATGCCGGCTGCATATGTTGGCGCAACCCCTCAGCCTCATTTTCAGCCCACCATGCAGCCTTTCCAGACACCGTTCCGGGCGAGACCCACCCCGGCAAACCGATGGCGCACACCCGACAACCGGCCCATCTGCTTTGCTTGCGGTTACGCCGGTCACGTAGCCCGTTATTGCTCTCGACTACAGCCGGCTCCCACTTCTCCTGTTGCTGGCCACCTTAGCCGTTCGTATAACGAGGAACTGCCGTCTGTGCCACTGTCTCGCCCAGGTCCGTCTGCTCGAAGGTCGCCGTCTCCACGACGTCGGTCTCTGTCCCCCATGCGGCCAAGTTCTGCTCATGAGCGGGAAAACTAGTCGTCGCAGTCCCAGAGGCAAGGACTGCGACGCTATCGCATTGTGAAAGCCCTCAGAGCCGCCCATCTAATGTCATTGACGTGCTTGTGGACGGTGTTCATGCATCTGCTCTTATTGACACTGGAGCTGCGGTATCAGTTATGAGTGAAAACCTTTGCCGCTTGCTTCGAAAAGTGACGACGCCGATTTCTGGACTGTCCCTTCGTACCGCTAGCTCACATCGTATTAATCCTACAGCAGGCTGCACAGCTCGCGTTGTCGTTCAGGACGTTCTGTATGTCGCCCAATTCATCATCATTCCTGCATGCTCTCATGACGTCATCTTGGGATGGGATTTTCTCTCCCGCAACGACGCCGTCATTCATTGTGCCGCCGCCGAAATTGAACTCTCGCCCTTCTCGCATTTGACGCCAGAAGACGGTCCCTCGACACTGAACAAGATTCTTGTGAAAGACGATACTATAGTGCCTCCAAGCTCGACGATGGGCGTATCGGTCTACTGCACCGGTCTCTCCGACACAATTGCACTTGTTTCGCCATCCTACCGTGCTTCCAGGAGGAAAGGGTTGCTAGTACCTTTCGCGACCGTGCAAATCACCCAAGGCAACGCCGCTATTTTTGTGACGAACCCATCCCCGTACACTGTTACCTTGGTTCAAGGGGAATGTCTCGGCAGAGTGGAAGCAGTCGACGACGCACAAGTCCTGGACGTACCCGAAGACTCGCGTTGTCCCGATTCACGTACCATCAGTGCTGTTTCTACTTCTGACCCATCATCTCCTGATGTATTTGGCCCATTCATTGATGACAACCTTACGTCAGTGCAGCGTTCCCAGCTTCTAGACCTGTTGCAAGAATACCGTTCTTCTTTCGATGTCGGGCGAAGTTCTCTCGGTCGCGCGTCCACTGTTACGCATCGTATTGACACTGGTGCCCATCCACCATTACGGCAACGTCCATACCGCGTGTCGCCTGCTGAACGCCGGCAAATTAACGAGCAGGTTGACGATATGCTCCGACGCGACGTCATTCGGCCCTCGGACAGTCCATGGGCGTCTCCTGTTGTTCTTGTTGCGAAAAAAGATGGTTCTGTGCGGTTCTGTGTGGACTACAGACGGCTCAATAAGATCACTCGCAAGGATGTCTACCCACTGCCGCGCATCGACGACGCAATTGACAGCCTTCACGGAGCCCAATTTTTTTCTTCTCTCGATCTGCGCTCGGGGTACTGGCAAGTACCCCTGGATGATGACGCTCGACCGAAGACTGCCTTCATCACACCCGACGGCTTGTACGAATTCAACGTCATGCCGTTTGGTCTGTGTAATGCACCTGCGACATTTGAGCGCATGATGGACAGCGTACTGCGCAACTTGAAATGGCACACGTGCTTGTGTTACCTCGATGACGTTGTTGTCTTCGCTCCAGATTTCTCCACCCATCTCCAACGTCTAAAAGAAGTTTTCGCACGTGTGAGCAATGCCGGCTTGCAACTAAATCTGAAGAAGTGCCGCTTTGCAGCACGCCAACTGACCATTCTAGGGTACGTCGTGTCCAAGGATGGCATTCTTCCTGACCCAGCCAAGCTTCGGGCCGTGGCCGAATTCCCAAAACCTGCGTCCGTCAAAGAACTGCGTAGTTTCGTGGGCCTGTGCTCATACTTCCGACGCTTTATACGAAACTTCGCCACGATTATATCACCGCTGACGAAGCTCCTCGGAAGTAACGGGCCCCTCAATTCGTGGTCGTCAGAGTGCGACAACGCGTTCTTGAAGCTCCGCCACTTGTTGACGTCTCCTCCCATTCTCCGCCACTATGACCCTACGGCCCCAACAGAAGTGCACACGGACGCCAGTGGTGTAGGCCTCGGCGCTGTCCTGGCGCAGCGCAAACCCGGGTTCCCTGATTATGTTGTGGCATATGCAAGCCGTACGCTCACAAGAGCCGAGACAAACTACACCGTCACGGAAAAAGAGTGCCTGGCAATCGTCTGGGCTCTTACAAAGTTTCGACCTTATTTGTATGGTCGCCCATTCGATGTCGTCACTGACCATCATGCACTATGCTGGCTGTCATCATTGAAGGATCCCTCAGGCCGCCTCGCCCGTTGGGCTCTTCGCTTACAAGACTTCGACATCCGCGTCCTCTACCGCAACGGACGCCAGCATGCTGACGCCGACGCCCTCTCGCGCTCCCCTCTGCCTGAAGCTAACGTGCTCTGCTCAGTATCCTCGGTTGTTGTTTCTGCCATTGATGTTGACATCATCGCTACCGAACAGCGAAAGGATAATTGGATCGCCCAACTGATCGACTTGCTCTCTGATCCGTCCGCAACGCCATCCACGCGTGCCTTGCGTCGTCGAGCTCACCATTTCGCCATTCGTGACGGCCTCCTACACCGACGCAATTACGACGCCGATGGCCGGCAGTGGCTACTCGTGATACCCCGCAGTCTGCGGTCGGAGATATGTGAATCCTTCCATTCTGATCCACAGTGCGCGCACTCTGGGGTATTCAAAACCTACCATCGCATTAGACAACGCTACTTCTGGCGCGGGATGTACCGCTACGTCCAGCAGTTCGTTCGCTCCTGTCTCGCTTGCCAACGCCGCAAACCGTCCGCACACATGTCACCAGCCGGTCTGCAACCGCTACCTTGCCCTGACCGTCCGTTTGGGCGCATAGGTATCGATTTGTACGGACCACTTCCTCTGACGTCCACTGGCAACCGCTGGGCCATCGTCGCCGTAGATCATTTAACGCGATACGCCGAAACCGCCGCTCTCCCTGCGGCTACTGCGCGTGATGTTGCGTCCTTCCTACTACATCGATTTATATTGCGCCACGGTCCACCCCAGGAGCTTCTCAGCGATCGAGGCCGTGTCTTCTTGTCAGAAGTCGTCGATGCCATTCTGACTGAGTGCCATTCTGTCCATCGCAAAACTACTGCTTACCACCCGCAGACGAATGGTCTGACCGAACGCTTTAACCGCACCCTCGGCGACATGCTGTCGATGTACGTCGCCGCCAACCACACGAATTGGGATACCATACTGCCCTTCGTCACTTACGCCTACAACACCGCCCCTCAGAGCACGACTGGTTTTTCACCTTTCTTTTTGCTGTACGGAAGGCACCCGTCACACACCATCGACACGATACTCCCGTACACGCCGGATCCATCTGAGTGTACACCTATTTCCGAGACCGCCAGGCTTGCTGAAGAGTGTCGCGAGCTTGCCAAGACTTTCACGACGCATGAGCAAGAGCGGCAGAAGAGTATTCGTGATGGCTCCGCCACTTCTGAGCCCACCTTCCTTCCTGGTTCTCTTGTATGGCTCTCAATCCCGACCTCTGTAGCTGGCCTTTCTTCCAAACTACTCCCGAAATATGAAGGTCCCTACCGTGTGATCGAGCGCACATCTCCGGTCAACTATCTTATCGAGCCAATTGAACAATCTTCGGACATGCGCCGCCGCGGGCGCGACATAGTCAACGTGGAGCGTCTGAAGGCTTACTATGACCCGCTCGTAGTGACAAGCTGTTAGGTCGCCAGGCGGCTCCCTCTTCGACCCCGGGGTAATTGTACAGAAGCCGCCGAACACTGAAGTGGGTCGAACTCTTATGTGCCTTCTAGTGGGTCTGCCCAAAGAGAACGCCGCTCGCGCGGAGACCCCGTGTTTTGGCCGTTACTGTCGCCATTGTGTAGACTCGCTGTGTGCCGGCTAATAAACGCCATAACAATATATATATATATATATATATATATATATATATATATATATCAAGATGCGTAGTAACTCGTTACAACCTTTTATCTCTTTCCTTCTATCTCTGTCTATTATGTCATGATATGTCCACCGATCCATCTTTGGCACTGAAAAAACACTGGGAGGACAACATGTAGAATTGCGCTGCAACTGGAGTCCATCTTCGGTCTCAACAATGTAGGCTCTCGGACTGTTGGCAGGCTTGATAACCGTAGCAGGGGACCAGGTCTTTGATGGTACGTTGTACACTGTGACGCGGGAGCCCTCAGGAAGTCCTGGTAGCGGCCTTGTACCCCTGTTGTAGTAGGAACGTTGTCTACTTCTGATGACGTGGAGCCGCCGTTGAACCTCCTCTGGCGGTATGGTCTGCGGTCGCAGGTGGGTTTCCGTGACTGGCAGCAGCGTCCTCGCATTTCGGCCCATGAGTCTCTGCATTGGAGATTTCAAATAGGAATCGCGAGGAGTGTTTCTCCATTCAAGCAATGCAGCACAAAAATCCACTGTGCCGTACCGATACCTCTTCAGCAATTTTTTGGCTTCTTGCACCGCACGTTCAGCCATTCCGTTTGATCGAGGGTGATAGGGGCTGGAGCGAACATGGTGCAAGCTAATCTTACCGACAAATTCACGAAAGTCCTGGCTGCTGAATGGCGGTCCATTGTCCGTGCATAGGCGCTGCGGGAAGCCATGAGTGGCGAATATGTCTGCGAAGGCAGCAATCACCTTGTCGGCTGTCGTCTTCACGGGCCTGATTTCGAAAAAGAAAGAATAAAAGTCAACAACCACCAAGTACTCGGTAGCATTGTGATAGCATATGTCGGCTCCCACAACTTCCCAGGGTAGGCTAGGAATTTCATGGTTCATCAATGGCAAGCGCCGATTTCGTGGCTTGTGCTTTTGGCAGGTCTCACAGCGTCGAGCAACTTCCTCTAGATCGCTGTTTATAGAAGGCCAAAAAAGTACAGCTCGAGCACGTGCTTTCATTTTTTCTGCTCCCCCATGCGCTGCATGAAGGCAGGCAAGAACTTCGCTGCGCATCTTGGCCGGAATGATGAGGCGGTTGCTCCTGAATACAAGGCCATCTTGCGTATGCAGCTCGTCGCGGAAGCTCCAGTAGCATCGTAGCTCGCTGCTGACGTCAGCTTTGCTCTCCGGCCACTGACTGCTTGCGTACTGTCGAAGTTTCACCATCACAGGGTCCTGGTCGGTCTCTTGTAGAACTTGGCTCAGCCGTCTGTCTGAAACCTGCAGGCAAGCAATGGTGTTCAACTGATAATTCAGGCACTGTTCTTTCAATATTGCTTGGCTCGGGGATCGTGATAAAGCGTCAGCAACAAACAGCTGTTTTCCAGGTGTGTATTTGACGACTATCGGGTACCTCTGCAAGCTGAGGCGCATGCGCTGAAGCCTTAGAGGACATTGGCATAACGGCTTCTTAAATATAATTTCTAGTGGCTTGTGATCGGATTCTACCACAACTTCAGGCTGCCCGAAAAGATAGTCGCGGAATCTTTCACAGCCGTGGACAATTGCCAGCATCTCCTTTTCGATCTGGGCGTACCTTTGCTGTGTTTCTGTCAAGGAACGCGACGAATACGCTAGTGGATGCCCGTCCTGTATGATCACTGCGCCAACTCCGTTCTGACTGGCATCTACCGACAGCCTGATTGGTTTCCCCTTCTCGTAGTAGCTTAGTACAGGGGCTGTCGCAAGCGCTTCCTTCAGAGCCTTGAAGCTTGCATCTTGGCGGTCCTCCCAAAGCCACGCGACATTCTTCTTTAGTAATTCTCGAAGTGGTGCTGTTAGGTCCGACATATTCGGAATAAAGCGAGAGACAAAATTTACCATGCCCAGGAACGTCTGCAGCTCTTTCTGGTTGCTTGGCGTCTGGACTTGCAAGATGTCTTCTAGCCGCTGTGGATCCAGGCTCAGGCCGTCGCGCGTCAAAATGTGTCCCAAGTACCGGACGGACTCCTGTAAAAAACGGCATTTCTTTCTGTTCAATTTCAGTTTGTACTCTCGGCAACGTCGTAGGACGTGTTCAAGGTTTGCATCATGCTGCTCTCTTGATCGGCCCCACACTAGAATGTCGTCCATGACAACCGCTACGCCTTCGAGGCCTTCTAGCACGCGGTGCATGGCCCGCTGAAATATTTCCGGCGCCGACGAGATTCCAAAGGGCATGCGCAAAAATCTATAACGGCCGTATGGAGTGCACATAGTGCAAATCTTAGAGCTTTCTTTATCCAGCTTGATTTGCCAGAAACCGGAGGCTGCGTCCAAAGTTGTAAAGTACTGGGCCCCACTTATCGAAGGTGCTATGTCTTCCAATGTTGGCATTGGATAGTGCTCGCGAAGCAGAGCTTTGTTTAGGTCGGAAGGATCAAGACAAATGCGTACCTTCTCTCCTTTTGTAACAACGACCATGTTGCTGGCCCACTCTGTCGGCTCGGTCACTTTCACGATGACTCCAGCAGTCTCCATGCGGTCGAGCTCAGCTTTCACCTTGCTTTGCAATGCTATTGGAATCCGCCGTGCTGGTTTCACTACTCCCTGGGACCCGGGCTTGAGCTTTAGATGGTAGACAATACCCTCCAGTTGACCCAGACCTTCAAACACGTCTTCGTAAGGCTTGGCAGTGCCGTAAAGCTCTATTTGGTCGACAGAGTAGACACGTTGGAGCAAGCCAAGCTCTTCGGCAACTGTACCGCTCAAGGTCACGGCGATTTCGTCATCCACGACGAAAAACTCTGTCAGAATCTTGCTTTCTCTCGTTGCCACTTCAAGACGAACTTGTTTCGTCGCTTTTTTCTGGAAGCCAAAAAATGTGTTTAAAACAACGTTGCAATCAAGTGGCTGCTTGTTTGTTATTTTCTGCAGCTGGCTGCGTGCTATAACCGAGCATGTTGCGCCTGTGTCTAACTTGCAAAAAATAGGCTTTCCTTCTATCTCAACGGTAGCCGTCCAGCGGTCGTCTTTCCCACGGGCATGCGATAGCGTTTCTAACCAGAAATCGCCTTCTTCTGCATCGACAGATGCTACTGCGTGCTCTTTCGAATGAAATCTTTTTTGCATCTTCTTGCAGGCTATCGCAAAGTGATTTCTGCCACCGCATTTCCTGCACGTGCGTCCCTTTGCTGGGCACACACGGTCGGTCTGATGAACCTTTGCGCACTTTGTACAACGCTGACCTTTCGCTTCAGATAGCGCGTTCATCTCGGCTGCGTAATCGCTTTTCGGGCGCGCCTGTATCTCTTCACACTGTTCTTTGCCATGTTCACGAGAGCGACACATTTCTACGGTCTTCGTGAAAGAAGCATTTTCGGAGATTAGCTTTTCTTGCAGCTTTTTATCTCTAATTCCGAGAATAATACGGCTTCTCGGCATACGCTCTTCAAGCTGCCCAAACTCGCAGTTTTTTGCTAGCACTCTGAGGTCTGTCAGCCAGTCATTGAAACTTTCACCGTCCTTTTGGTCGCACTTTCCAAAGCGGAACTCATGGTAGGCTAAGTTTAGAGCTGGTTTGTAAAATGCCTCAAACTTCATTTTCAGTACTTCTACGTCCGACTTCTCTTCGTCAGTTGCAAAATCAAGAGTGCTGTACGTCTTGCGTGCGTCCTCTCCGATAATCATAAGAAAGGTGGCTGCCTGTACCTCTTTCGGTTGCTGGTTCAGGTATGTTGCCGTTGCGAAGAGCTCGAACTCTTGCCGCCATGTCTTCCAGCTTCGCCATACGTCTCCTGTGGTGTCCAGGGCTTTCGGCGGTGGCAATAGCGTGGTGACTGGTCCGCTGGCCTGCTGGCGCTGTTCCCCGTTCTGCATGCTTGTAGCTGGTTGGGACCTCCGAGCCGCCCCTGTTGGCTTGCTACGCGTCCGCTGTTCGTTCGCCGGCTGCGTGTATCGGCTGCGGTCCGACCACTTCTGACACCATGTGGCTTGCACGGGTCATGTGCGTCGAAAGAACGTTTATTGAACGATAGCGCTCTCATATATACATTCTATGCCGAGGGGCGTTGCCCCCAATCTGGCGCACGTGTGCATGACTGTCACATATATATATATATATATATATATATATATATATATATATATATATATATCAAGATGCGTAGTAACTCGTTACAACCTTTTATCTCTTTCCTTCTATCTCTGTCTATTATGTCATGATATGTCCACCGATCCATCTTTGGCACTGAAAAAACACTGGGAGGACAACATGTAGAATTACGGGTCACCAATTTTATTGCGCATTGTCCATAGGATAGTGCCTATACCTTCGAAGCTCACATAGGGCTAAATGATAATATTGATTGATCGATTGATTGTGGCTTCTTTGTGAGTAATGATCATCAGTACCTCGTGATTTCCATCATATAATTCACCGGGAGTGGATTCGCCCTGGCTTATTGCGCTTTCGAAACCACTCACGAAGTCCACTTACTCCTTAGGTGGCCATCAGTCTCATTCACTGATACCTTGTTAATGAAATTAAGCCAACGAGCTACTGTCGGTGCTGGGCTAACACGCCAGTACTCCAGCGACGAGTGCCTTGCATTGAGCGTCGCCATTAACATGTGCCAAAAAACCGAAAGGGCGAATGTGCTGCTAGCGAGCACCGCGGCTTTAGCGTTGCAGTCTAGAGAAAAAGATGCCACTTTGCTGCGGAGCAACAAAGAGGCGCGACTATGGAACGGTGAAAAGTAAGTGGCGAGGCGAACCAGAAGGACGAATGGAGAAGAGACGGAGAGAAGCAGTAGAGGGCGCAAAGGAGTCACGAACTACGAATAGAAGAAACAATGGTTGTCGGCGCGAAAAGTGCCAAGAAAGAAGGACTGCAAAAAGCGAGAACAGGGTGAGAGAAAATTGGCAACAGAAGGCAGGAGTTGCTTCGTCCTCAAAAGACGTTCCATCAGCGCTGTCTCGAGAGCGGCTCGTTCACCCACGCAAAGTGGCTGCTGCGTTGCTCCTTCTGCTCTTTCGTTTTCGTTTTTTTATTCTTCCGATCCCAAATCCCGCGGTCGGGTGCGATGTAATTACGGAGTGGTAGCAGGCCGCCTTTGGCGCGGCCTGCTCTTGGTACCGGGCCGAGGAACTCGGTTCGCGGCCACTGGTTGTGTTGTTTTCATCTGGTCATGCCGGCCCACTAAAAGCTATAAGGTAAACAAACACAGATGGTCGAGGAAGGGTCCAGCCGGAGTGCGGCAATGTGAAAAGAGCGGGAAAGCAACAAACGCTTGTCCCAAGATTGTGCGAGCAGATTTCGCTTCCCACTTCGCCATGCTTCTACTTTATCGAAGATCACCCTCCCCACCTCCAGGCTTCGATTTCAGTCGGAACAGTTGCCGTTCTGTTCAAACATTGTTTCGCCACAGCATTGCTATTTTGGTGCTGTAATGACTGGCGTTTGTCAGTGACTATTTATAGCTAGAGATCGGTAGTGTTTTTTTTTATTTTGAATTGATTCTGTTATTTTGTTACAGAAATAAAAACTTTACAAAGCAAGGACATGGCACCCAAGAGCGTATAAGATTTAAGAATGTTCCAAGTCTCAGCAAATCACAAGGGCTTTTTCGTGGACTAGTTAGTTTATGAATATTGTGGCAAAACGGCGCGAACGAAGTATATACAGAGCACAGCGATATGTCCTGTATATCCTTCATCCCGTCGTTTGCACTGTTTCGTAACATATTAGTACAGCCCATTACCGAGTTTATAAGTTTTAAATATATTTGACAGCAAATACTTCCGTTTATGCCACAGTCATTCGCGCACTTAGAAATATCAACACAGGCGCATACACATCTACCTTCTGTCTTCTTGTTGCTTGTGTCCCGGCTTTTTTTCGCTCTGCTTTTATTTTCATAAAATGCACCCACTCAGCCAACAACGCATTCTGTTAAGTATATGCAGCATTTTAGAGTAAGATAACACATCCTGAACAAAACAAACATGAAATTCCCACGAAAGGAAATATATATTGATCCATTTAAGCAAAGCAATCCAGGCAAAAATCACCAGCACCCCACCGTAAACAATTACAATGATAAAGCCATAGCTCTGAAAGCACACATGTGAGTTTGTATTCGTCAAATCTGATTATTTCGATTTGATGACGCTATCTTTAAGACGTCCATTGAAAATGCCCACGTGTTATTTTGACTGTGGAGTTGGAAATGTACTTCATGCAGATTATATTTCTTTCGAGTGCCAAGTGAACACGGCTGTAATTGAACACGAAACACTGCTCCTTTTTATCAGAAGCATTGGGCATGGCTTGTTTCAGTTAGAGCAATGTTAGTCTCGCTCACTGAACATAAGCTTACACTCTAACGAACGCATTTGTCAAGTTTTATTTTATTAATTTTCGTATTTACCACGTTAAACAAATTGTGGTATCGATGCTAAAGGCATAGTCTTGTCAATACTTTTCTCTCCGAGAACTGCGCTGTCAAAAGCTAGACATTGCCTAGAGCCAAAGTGCTTATATTTACCCCAGCACGGTGATTTGGGGAACGGGCTGCAAACTCGTTTCACGACAACAGCACACTCAACTGCAGCCGGCTTACGTATTCGCACTCACACTCATCTTCGTTTTACTACGGCGTAGATGACTCGCTCTTTCGGTTGGTGAGAAGGGAGCAAACGCCAGAACAAACTGTGCAGCTTCTCTGCTTGTGCCGAATCTGGCCGCGTTCCGAGGCGACGCGGTGGTTTATCGTGGCGCTGGAGATTTAATGCGCTTCTTCGAATGCGCAGAGGCCGCGCCGTATAATTTCCTACCCAGGAGACGACGTCACCGCGTCGGCAGCTCGGCGTTGTAGACCACGACGAGGACGCCGGAGTGCACTCGCGAGCGTTGAGCCCGAATTCATCTCGGCCGAAAGTGATTATTCTGCAACGACTAGTACGCTCGACTTTAATGTTCTCGTTTTAATGAATAATATTTGAACGACATAGTACAGCCTGATTGGAGTGAAAGCGGTGCCTTCGACTAGAGTTTTTTTCAGACACATTTAACCATAAGATTGACCCCACAGCATACGTCGTACCCCCTTGTTAAGAAGACCCACTCGGCGCCACTATCCTCATTCTCTAACGCCAATATCTGCAAGACTGAAATTTTTGGCAAGAAGTTTTCCCACAGACAGTAGCTGATTGGAACAAAATTATCAAAAGAGAAAGAATAAGAAGAAAGGCGGGGAGGCTATCCACGGGTGAACCTGGTATAGGCTGGGAAAAGGGAAGGGGAATTAACCAAAACAACTGTCTAACGACTGTAACTCGTGTACATATCGAATAACGCAAATACCTGTTTCAGTTTCTTAGAATTGTACTCTGACCAAGTGGTCCAATTGTTCTTATTTTTTGTCGTAAGCCTCCACCCTATAGCAAGAGTTATATAAAGTCAAAAGTAGTTTTTTAAGCTTGCTTCATTGTTATTTAGCGTGAATCATGTGTATATTGTTCACCCTGCTTAGGCCTCTTGTGCGCAGTATCCTAAAAATAAATAAACAAATAAATAAATAAACCTATACCTAATGAAGACACAAGGAGATTAAGCTACCACACAGCTTCCTTTTCCCGCGAGAACATTCGTAGAAAAAGTCACATGGTGTTTTGATTGTCCTGCAAATTAGATCTGATGCAAAGGTGGTGATATGCTCACAAATAAAAAAAAATGGCATTTGAAACTTCGTGTCGCGTGCCTTAGAATTTATGGCATTATAGAAACATTCAGAGGCTGAAGTGAAAAAGCAAGAGCACTCTGTATTTGAAAGTGAGCTGCATAGTACAAGTTCTGACCACCAGGTGTTCGTTAACATGACCCTAAGCACGTGGGCCCCTGGTATTTTGCCTCTATCAAAATTCAGCCGGAACTTGAACCTTCGGGTAAGCAGTCGGGCACGTCAAGGCTGCAGGCTTTGCTAGCTTTGTATACAGGCTCGCTTTATTCTTCACTCTGGGCCTTGAAAGTGCGTTTCTCTTGAGGATGCATAATTACGCGATAAATTGGTCAGATGAGCTTGGATCTCGTTCGCCAACTCCCGGGTACAGCACCTGGAGGTACACGACTTTGCCTTGCCACAGCACCCGTAGGTACCAATGAAAGTTTCTTAGCGAACTTGTTTATGCTCTGTCTGCTATGTTTTTTCCGCTCCTCTTTGACAGAAAAAGCAATCACGACTCACATGTTCTTGCGAGTGACATGAAACCTTCTTCAGGCACAGCCTATTTTCAGTTGACAATAGCACGTTCTGGTAGTATATAAATAAGGCTTAAAACAGCTGTGCAAGTTCAAATAATGAGTTTTACTCGTTTCCTTGGAGACACAGGCCTACGTGAACGCTCATGACGAACTGAGTGGTGAAAGGATTCTACGATGTGTATGAGCGTGCATATTATGAGCGTTTCCCATTCCAAAGCTTTTAGCGTCATTTCGTACAATTTTCTGTTCAAGATTAGCCAACCTGACTTCTCCTGGCTGAGCTTCTCGCAACGATTCGGACTGTGATGGTGGACTGCAACTGCAATACTTGAGGAAATAAGACATTTAGTCGGCTATTTGAAAAAAACTTCTACAAGAACTATAGATCCACCACCACGGAAATACGTTAAAAAAGGGCCTATAGTATACGCACAATGTATTAGCTAACAGTCCAGTAAATTTCAACTTCCCGCTGTATGCTGTTATCGCAGGAACAAACTGAACCGTCAGTGAAGCCTTTATAAAGGCAAATAATTCAAAGTTCGCTCACTGAAATGAACCCGCAGCTTGTGAGCGGATAAATAAAGTTACTATATATTCGATTGGGACTCTCGAT